TCTTGTATCTTACTCAATTACATGCAGATAAACAGGGACACAACGACGACACGCTTAGTGTTATCGGCCTAGTGCAAGCAGGCCTTGCGGGCTGACCCGCGACGTCATCTACGCTCCGTTTAAACGCGCTCTGATTGGTCGCATTACTGCAACTTCAACCTTGATTATCTCGAAATTTTGATATATGAAATAAAAAATGAAAATACACGTATTCTTTGGAATTTGACAAGGAATGCAACGGTGTTACTACAGTGCGTTTCATAACGAACACCCTGTATACATATATATACCCCTCGTGTCAATCATCTAACCTCAAATCTCAGCAATTCATCGTTACTTTTATACTTATATTCAAATAATCTAATTCTTCCGTGTTTTATTTTTTCCTCTTTTCTCACAATTTTCTTTTCTTAGTCGTATAATATCTCATAAAACGTCACTCGCTTCTTCGCTCAAGTGGATCGGCGTGGCAGGCGAACGCGGCTGTGTGGGAGTTGCGCCGTTTTGACGTTTGTCCGGCATTTCCGAAAGGCTGTACCGAGCGCGTCGTAAAAAGGAAAAAGAATTGAAAGAAGCGATTAAAAATGTAATATTTTTTCTTTTTTTTTTCAGAGACACATAAAAAGAACGCGATTCTCTTTTAAAATATTTGTTGGTCTTCTTTTTTCTATTTTTTTTCTTCAAATTCATAAATTCGCACTACGTAATCGCAGGACGAAACCATCGAAAGACTCGGTTGATTCTCGCGCCACGTACAGGCAACAGTCGGTACATAAAAGATAATAGAAATATTTCGTGAACGACGATCGGTATAGTTGAAAAATAAAAAAATCGCATTTGGTCGCATCGTTCCTCCTCTTGTAAATAAATAATCGCTACCCGGCTCCCCCCGTATAATATCAACAACAACAACAACAACAACAACAACAACAACAACAACAACAACTAGAGTTACGTATACCCGTCCATTCACTCGCGATTAGCAAAATAATAGAATTCAAACGAAATACGATAATCGATTGCGTAATATCCCGCCTTACCATTCTTTACAGGGAATTCCAAATATAAGTTTACCATCCATTTCGTTATCCTGTGATTACTGTAAAATTTGAAACACACTATAGATTATAATAATTTTACATTCCCCTTTACGTGTATCAATCTAGCTTCTACACTGGTTCAGCATTTTTTAGGAATGTCCATTTACAGTGATAGACACATTTTGAAACACTCTGTAGAGATTGAAGCGAGTTACGCAACGCAGTACCATTGTGGACTAGGACAATATGAATAATTCTATTAAATAGGCTCTCTATGCTTAATGAGATAATGGCTCAGCTCTTACGTAACCGTAAGCGCAACTCCGTGGACCCTCTCAGAAATATCCGGCCCGAGCGTCGGAATTTAATTTCCATTTTTAATATTTTTTTTTCTTTAAATATCTTCAATAAGACTCCATTAGATAAGTGTATCCATGAACAAGGCACTGCTCGACAAGATGGTTTCGCGTTGCTGGATCACTTGTTATTAGCCGCTATGATTCACCTGCAATCATTGTCATATACTGATTGAATAATTAGTAGATAGGATAAGAGAAATCAGCAACGTGAAACCTGAGAGACTTATAAATTCTAGATGGACAGATCATCTATTATTACTGAGGAATACCATCGCGTTACTTAATTATCATTCGTTATAGATGGTTAATCATCAATCATCGTACCCGAAGATCATCATCATCATCAATATCCTCATCCATATTTTCATCTTTACGCTTTAAGATCGGTACTACGTTTTTTGGTTTTATAAATTTACTTAAGAACAAAATGGAGGTTATGCGTGAACTATGACCTGAACAAAATGGTTGACTTGCTGATTCATGATTATTGTTTAAATCGAACGAAAATTGATGCTTGATAAGTGATCTTTTGATAGACTACCGTGTCTTGTACTTCAATGTATCTAGTTGTCAGATAGAAAACATGGTCCAGGAAGTATTCCAAGGGATGATTTTCGAGTAGACTCCTTCGCCAATAGGTATACGAAGTGAATGCACGTCTTAGGCTTCCAGTTTTTAGGCCGTTTGGCTTCTTCGCTGTTATAAGGGGAAGCACTTGGTCCTCTTTTGGACGACGACAGATCTGCAGTCGACCTTACCTAGAGTGAAGCTTTCCTGCTTGACAGTCTCTTCGACGGATATTCGTCCGAGTCTCTTCTTGACCCTGAAGGGAGTCGAGCGCGGTGAAATTATTTCATAAAGGTCACTAGTACGACCCTGTATCTGCACCCTGCGTTTGGGACTGCTCTTCTGATCGACAGGTATGGCAATGTCTACTTCAGAACAATGATTACCATGGGATCCTACTGACTGGTTCATCCTGGACTCCGCCAGGATGCTCCTATCCTTGTCCTTGTCCTCCTCCGATGGAGTATTGAACACGTCGGAGCAATAACTTTTGGAGTCACAGATCAAAGCGAGCTCTGAAGAATCGATAGCCTCCTCAGTCTCTGATGGGGGACTTCTTGCCGATACTAGAGAGATCGCCCTGGTTTCGGGTCGCTGAGGTCTCTCGTCATCAACATAGTCCAGGGAAAGACAACGTTTCTCAAAGAGGGCAGGTCCTGGGACCATCCTGACGCTTGGTTCCTCTTGATAAACTTCCTTAGCGTCGCTCTCTTCAGAGTTTAATGCTGATTCCAAGGACTTCTCCTGAGGATGAGACTCCAGCGTGTTCATAAGATTACCCTGGTCATCCTTTGAAGCACTGAGTTGACTTGGTCTTCGCACGCTATTCTCTCTCTCAATTGAGAGACAAAATTCCTTATCGGTGAGTAAGATTTTCTTAGGTAAGCGTATGGCTTTTTCATCCTCGAGGACGTCGGGTTTTTCAACGGATGGTGTCTTCAGCAGACTCTTCACTTTGCGCAATTCGGTCAGCAGGTCCATCGTCTCCTGGGAAGGCTCGTGGAATATTTTTCTCTTCGGTCTTCGCAGAGACTTGTTATCATATTCCTGGTCGTTGCAGTTAGCTTCTATATTTTCCTGCTTTCTCAGGACCGACCTGACCGAGTGTCCACGTTCTTTAGACATAGTGTCTGATGAAGAATCCATGCCGACTTTTCCAGGGGACATCAATGCCGTCTGGACTTCTTGACTGTCTTCTCCGTCCGTTTGGGAGAATGCAATGCCACGTGGTAGTATTCGCTGACGTTCAGTCTGACGTGCTTCCCGGGCACGACGTCTAAATACGCCGTAACTTTCTGGAGGAACGTTCTGAAGTTCGAATTTATTGTGGAGTTGCCTGAAGGCCTCTTTCGAAGAGTCTTGGCTCGCGACAGATCCTTTGGAACCTATCGTCAGACTGTCCTGGGGCTCGAAAAAGGCGTCGCGCTTACAAACATCCTGACTCTGATACCTCACGGAGGACTCACTACTGACTATTCCTAGAGTGGAGTGATCCTTAGATAACTTTAGGTTGTCCGAGGAGATGCCACGACGTTCAAAATGTTCCTGCTTTATTCGGTGCATTATATGCTCGCTTGTTTTGTTATCGTCCATCTTGTCCAGGATGTCTTCGGATGCTTGACGTCTAGTCTTTGTCGGCGATGCTCCCAAATCCTTGGAGAAAACGTCCTCGTCGTATTCTGGTGACATATTAGAAATCCTTCTCTTGGTTGGAGAACTCACAGTCTTGAATAATCCATTCCCAGGGTTACCTGGGTTGTCCCTAGATTCAGTTTCCCGTTTTCTCCTTGTGGGTGTCTCCGGGGTAGTGCCACTTTTTCTCTTCGGTGAATTGCCCCAGGACGTGGCTTCGCGTGGTGAGCCTAAACAAGAACTCGAAGAGATGATTTCTTCGCTTGATGTTATCTTACATTTTACCAGCTCGGCGACGCTTGTTGACTTTGGCTGCAGGTTTGGTACTACTATTTCTTGCTGGGTATCCTCCAATGGTGGTAAAGAACTGGGTCCGGAATCTAGTACATCGTCTAATGATGCACCTCTTAGAGGATCTCGATGACTCGTGTTTAATGAATCCCTTGGACCTTTAGAATCGTTCAGGTCCTCTGTTTCAAAGGAATACATTTTGAGTAGATATCCTTTTCGGGAACGACGTCTCTCAACGGCGGCTACAGGTTGTTTTTCAGATTCCATCACTGTCTGAGGTTGTGAGGTAGTCTCAGGAAGTTCCTGAACCACGTCCGGCTTCGGCGTTATACCTGATACTTGACTGAGTTTATTAATTGGATTAGTGCCCTTTGCGGACATTGGCGTACTTCTACGTGGTATATCAAACGTGAATTTATCCAAGGTCTTGGAGGAACCTGTCTTATCCAAAAATGGCTTCTCAATAGCTTTACTGGGACCGATCTTCTCCAGGTATGGTTTACTGATAATACGTGGTGCGAGTTTCGCCAGAAATGGCCGATCCTCTGTCTTGGATATTCCAATCTTCCTTAGGAAGGGTCGCTTTTTCTCCTTCGGATCCTGGGAACGCGAGGAATCTAGACCTTTATCGCTTAGTCGCTCGTTGCTGTAATGAGATGTGTTGTCACTGCTCTTAGAACGTGCCCTCTTGTTCCTAGGGTGAGTCGTCAAAGGCGTCCGAGGTGTCCTAGGCGTGAGAGAAGGACTGGCTTCTTGATTCGGACAAGTTTCATCTAAGAGAGCAATGGCATCTCTTAGATCCATGTAGGCCTTACGTGGCGCGGCTGAACCTGGTGGTTTAGGCTGTTCACTCTCGACGCTATTGTTCCTGGTGGAGGCCAGATCAGGCCTGGCCACGTCTTTATCATTGTACGAGTAGGAGGGGTACGAGCTTGGATCGTACGGTCCTGGAGAGGAATCTGGTTGTTGTTCTTCGAGATACCAAGGTGTTACTCTGAGATCTTCTGGTCGGGTTGCTCGGTTCTGGAGTACAGTATTCCGGGATACGGCGCCCCTAGATTGACCAAACTCCAGGTCATCCCCGGTCGATGACAATACCCCTACAGTGTTACCACCTGGTGCATCTATTCCGGAAATGCCATTCAATACCATTGATCTATGATATGAAGAACACATAGCGAAATACGGCGGCGCCGGTCTCGCGGTCTCCACTACTATACGGCCCTGGGCGCACGGTACCACTGGTTCCCCATCTGCTGGAGCTTCCTCTGGAGTTAGGGGTAGCGCGGCACCCCGGCCGAACTCGATGAACCACAGCTCGTCCCTCAACTCGCATTCTCACTTCTTCTCGTTCATGTCCTTGTTCAGGTAATGCAGCACGTAATGGAGGACCAGGTCGTAGCAATATTTGTATTCCGTCTGGATAAATATTTATATTTTTAATCATCACATTTCTTCCTAACTTATTATTAATCAATACAATTATTTCGACAGACTCACCATATTTTCCACGAGCTGTGGTCGGTGTCGGCGTACAGTCTTGACAGCCTGAAAAATGTCAACTTCGCCATGTTGTATAACCTGCTCTATACAGGCATTAGCAGCACAGTAAACACCACAGCGACTTCGACCATCCGGCGACACAACAGCAACTGGTCCATAATCAGTTCTTTGTCGCCAGCGTTCCACCATGTTCATTAATTCAACTAAGCTATTGGTCGAGGTCGGCACCTTGTGTCCCATTGGCCAACACGTCAGTTGAAACAGTTGTACAGTCTTTGGTGGTGCCTTCACTCCAGCCATCAATTCCGTTAGAGAGACTATTTTTTTATTTATTCTGAATACCTGCAAGTATAGATTTACCAATTATGTCAGTTCTCAATGTAGCATCGAAAGTCCTAAACTATCCAAGTAAGTTTCTCAATAATTGTTAGAGAAAAGCTCTGTAAGTACGTAAGACAAATAGATACGTAGAACGAGAAATATAGAAAAACTTTCTAGACTTTTCCAATGAATATTCTACGTCAATGAAGTTGAACAGCCATTGAAGCATGTAGGTGGAGGGTTTCATCGGCTTACCCAAGTCTTGATGTTGGTATAGTGATTGTGACTGATGTGATCTATGGTGAAGACTGGACCGTACTTCTTCGAGTGTCTTCCCTCAGGCCAGAAACTAGGAAAGTTCGTAGAGCCTTGAGGCGGTACACAAAGTACCACAACGGCTGCGCACTCGTAGTCATAGACAAGAGACCAAAATTCGCCGCAGGTATGTCGCAGAGGCCATTCGGTCACAATATACTCGCGTGGTTTCGTATAGCCCTGGGATGAAATGGTCCAATAAATCTTCATAATTGCACTACAATCACATTATTGGTCCAAGAATTTACTCACATCGACAAACACCGCGTTTATGTAATCCGTGAAGCTGTTGCCCTGGAAGCTCGTGAGGTATGGCCTGAAGTTATCAGCTATAAAAGAAAAATCGGCTATTACGGTATCACGGTCACTATTTCGAAGATCTGTTATCTTGAATGAAATAAAAAAATAATTAAATTTATTGTAAAAAATAAAATTAGCGTTACTCACGCGGTACCACGAGGACATCACGATTCTTCTCACGGTTGTCAGCCCTGTGACCACCGGCGCAGTCGCCAATTGTGAATCGCGGCGTTTGCTTGCAGATCTGCTGATACTCACGCTGATACTCGTTCATCTTTGTTACGGGGTTTTTTATGCTCTTCTGCTTGAGACGCTGAGACAATTCCGAGACGGGAAACCAAGACGTGCCGCATATAACAAATTCCTCCAGGGTGTCGTATACAAATTTGTATTGGTCCTGTCAAGCAGAATAATAAAGCAAAGCTGTAGGTCTTTGTCAAATTTTTTTTTGTAATATAAAGTCCTCGAGAAAGTCAAATGAGAAATCATACGAAATTCAGTTGTTCCAACCCACCAAGTTCTCTATCAAGCCCTTTCTGCTTTGTCTCAGCTTCTTTAGATATCCAAAGACATCAAATGCGTCTTCCTCTTCAGCTAATTCCATATTAGCGTCTATAGCCAGGTACACGCCGGATCTACCACCGCCGTCGCTAAAAATTATACCCTAATAATTAGTATTCCTTGTTAAAAATATTGTTTTGTAATATACTGAGTCTACGCCACTGCCCCGAACAAGTTATCTGCTCTATGATTGGCGAAGAGAGGTCTATAAGCACAATAGTGAGGATAAACTCCTGCCATATTGACTGATATCCAGTGGCGTAGGTTCAATCCGAATGCAATCTTTATTAAGTTTCAAAACTCTACTGCTGGATCATCCTAAAAAAGCTGTCACTAAATTATCTACTGAAAAACGGTATCACTATTATTTAGAATAATTATATATTTACTCACTTGCAATGAACCACCATGGGACCGGATTCATTTTTTATGGTGGAACCGACAACAGCCCTAACCCGTCGCCGAAACTCCAAAACGGCATTTCCAAAGGGACAAGTATGAGAGTGCCATTCGGTATAGTGAAACTGTAGCAATGTCCTCTCTTCGCTAATTTCCTGCGAAAGTCGACAAACAAATGATTAAAAAACTTATAATATCGTGAAATAAAGTCCAAGAGAGCCAATGAGAAAAGACCAAAAATGGATTATGGCTCATTCAGGAGAGGCCAAGGTAAAACTTTCACTGTCTCAACATTCAGGCTATAGGAGATTGTCAATCTTCGGAGGGTGAAACCTCTAGCGAAATGACTTTTTTTAATAAGGACCCCGACGCTCTCTACTCTTCACCCCGACCCTTCTGCCCACCCCCTCAAACACTGTCCCTCCTGTCATTCTGTGCTCAAGAAATTTACAGGAAAATTGTAACATACTCTAAGACCTTCGCAGTCGAAGTTGGCTAGAATAACTTTTTCTTCCTAACCTTCTCTCCATCTAATCCTTTCTCCTAAAATCAACTTCCCCAACTTTAAGAGGAGAGACCGCACAATTACGTATAGTCGCCATTGCTCAGAGATTACTGAAACTTTTGCAAAGTCTTGTCAACTCTGTACAGCTTGCTGGACAGTACGTGTCAACAGGAACATATGTATGGTTGGACCTTAGAAGCTTCCATGGAGTCTATCAAGTTTCTAAATTTCAGATTGAGGTTTCATCTACAGGCAATCCTCGACCATGGACTAACTTCAGGCAATGAGATTGAATTAAGTTCATCATTAATTGTTCGATTGGATCCCAGAAAGTTCTTGTCGTACAATTTAACAGTTACGTACAGTAACGATGCGCCAGGAGGAAAAACGTACGTTACCTAACAGCGAATGACAAATGATTGTAAAATTGAAAAAGTTTCTCATTTCTCATCGTCCAACTTACATCCTTCTCGTTCTTCTTGTAGAGCTTTATCGTGCGTATATGAAAATTCGCCAGTTCTTCTTCCTTAAGAACGGACACGCCTATTCCACCATATTCTTCGTCCTTGTCTTTACTCGCTGGCCAATACTGCACGCACATAACCTGCAAGTCAAAAATTAACAAAACTTTAACGAGACTTCCACTAAGGGTAATACCATTCGTAACGAATATCGATATTCAATAATCGTGAGGAATAAATTTAAAAAATGACAAGTGCCAATAATTCTAAAGAATTAAATCTATCTCTCTTTTTTTTTTTTTTTAATAACAAGTTAAAAGTCTGCTGCCGTGGATTATTTCCTCTTCCGTTTTTCAATTTTCTTTTTATTGTCCCTTTCCTCTATTTCAGTTCTCCAATAATAATCAGCCCAGTCAACAACGTCGCAAGCCTCTCGATGCGTTACCAGGTAGTACGTGTTTCTCTGGGCAGCAGTGCATTCATCTGCGAATCTACACTATATTGACATTCTACACTGTACGTATAATATATGTATATACGCAGAAGCATATCCAACAGTCGTATGCTTCAACATATGAAAAATTATTTTTACTATTTTGTATATACATATATATATTAGGTACGAGCAACAAAAAATTATGTACCATTCAAGCAAGTGTTGGACAGGTTAGACTATAGATGTTACATATGGATATGTAGTGTGTCAATATATTATATAGCAAATAGCTTCCATATGTACTCCAGAATAACGATTATTGGAAAGCTAGTCGGGAAACAATAGGTTTTCAGGAATCGTGTACACGACTCCAGTGAAAATCGGATTATACATCGAGCAATAAGAGATACGCTGGTCGCTAATATGGAAACGCGGGAAATTCAATTTTATCTTTTTCAGAATATCATAGTTGCATATTCATCGAGATGCGTCCGATAGAGTCGTCGTACCTTGTGATATAAAAATTCGATATAAAATTATTATTCCCTCTTATCGTGAACTCACCCTAATGAAATCAAACGTCTTTGTCAGCATCACGATGCAGGATGCCCTCTCTTGCCAAACCATTCGCCAAAATTCCGTCACGGTATTTTCCATAGGTCCCTGAGTGACTATATATGCATTTGGTTTCAGTATACTCTGAAAGTCCGTAAAAAATTTTATTTTGCAAATCACACAATTTATTACTTTTTTCTTAATATCAATTTCTGATCGTTATGGTTTTTATTAAAAAAAAAATAGTGATTAAATACTCACATCCACGTAGGAGGCATTTACGTAATCAGAATCAGGCTCGCCAGTTATCGTCTCCAATACAACCCTGTTATAGTCATCTGTAAAAAATAAAAATAATTTTTTATACCAAAATAAAATTTGTTTTCCAAATTTTATATTACTCCACACTCACATGGGATACATCGTTGATTTTGATTCTTCTCCTTATTCGCAGGTTTCATAGCGTGTCTGCACGAATGCGTCTCTACTTTGGTGGCAGTCTAAAAGAAAAAAAAGAAAACCGGAAGTAAATGAAAAAAAATCAATAAGCTTCTCGAATACCACGTCTGCCAACTGGGTAATTATTAATTAATTAATAACAAGTATAACGCAATTATCCATTGATTGCTTTCATCACGAGTCTGTCTCCAGTGTATTTTCATCTGTTATCAGCGATCCAAATATCTCAAGGGTTCACCGCACCTGCTATCGACGCTTATCGAGTTCCAGGATAACTCGCAAAATCGATATTAATTCCATCCGCCTCGAGTCCCGTTGACGAGAAACAAACGTCTATCTAACGAGAAATCGATATCGACAACTGAAACGATACGAGAGTCTCGGTTCAGCCAGCGATATACGTTTACCAAGATTATTTTGTGTCCTTTTCTGTTGTCTAGAATTGTGAGATTGGCTGGCTGGCTGCCTTGTCTTCTGACACTTACTGTTTATATCGGAGTACAGCCAATCTAACCTAACCCCGTTCTTTATGTACAGCTGCAAAGAGCTATACCTATATATACACAGAACTATATAAGAATCATCCCTCTCCCTTCACTACTTTTAAACTCATATCGAATTTCGAAAACGGGCTACACCACTTTGATGTCGTATATACCTGGTTAAAGCTTAACCCTTGTTAGGGTAAAATTTCCAGAAAATTACAAAAGCGCTTTATACCAGGTCGTAATTAAGACCATTAACTTTCCCGAGGGGACGGCACGAATTTTTAATTCTTAGTTTTGCGAAATACTCGCACGGTACAGTCACGTGAAGATAGAATTCTTTCATCTCCATGAGGCTTTCTTACCTTCCGGCATCGTTTGCGTTGCAGTCGGTATTAACGTGTAACCTAAACCTAACCTAGAATACGCATGCGGCATGTCTATTGTCTTGCACAGTTGATTCTCACGTTTTTAATTAAAGTTCCCGAGGGAGAAAAAGACCGAGGGATGCTGCCATGATGCTCGTGGTAAACTAATAAAATGGTCTATCCTACCCACGTGAATTTTATATCAGACTTCATTGAAACAGGCACTCCATCTACAGTAAGATTATCTATAGACTGTCTTTCATCAAGGAGAGTCGTAAATTTAGGCCGTAACGCATAAATATTCTCTGGAAACGTCTTCCTTTTATGTACTGTATACAAATTACGTATATAATATATATAAATAATATATACGTATGGCATATAAATGACACATTCCGAAAAGTGAAAAAAAATATTTAGATTTTCTTTTTAATCAACGGCTTTGAAATTCGAAATATACTGCACTGTATCTGATTCAATGATGCAGTCAGCCAATTTGTTTACGGATTCATACCATGCCACGCATTTATTACAAACTTATAATTTCCCGGAAGACAGCTTGAATGCAATTACAGTCAAACTTTTATTACTTCTTACTCACCTGAAACTCGACGCGATATAGAACCGGAAACTTTCGTCGAAGCTCGCAGAGTTTCGGATACTGAGGAAGTTCTGTGGGCGCTGTCGGCAAGGTAGTACCGATACCGCTGATTTCTTCGGCTATTTGAAAAACAAAAGTACCATAAGAGAATAAGAGATGAACTTAAGAACTAGAATAAAGAGAGAGAATTTATTCTGTATTCGTTGCCGGTAACTTTTCCAATCTTAAAAAGTACATTCTAACCTAGTACATATACGAATACTTTTTTTTTCGAATTCTTATTGAATAATTCTCTCTCTCTCTCTCCGTTTCTTTTTTTTTTACCTAACAATTTTAATCGTAAGACCATATATTATACTTTATGGTATTATACGAGTCTTGATTAATAATATCTTTTTTTTTAATTACATACAGGATTCTACAAATATAAGGTATCTTCTCCAATGTCTGTATATAGTATATATAAAAGTAGTATTATGTTGAAGTATTATGTTGAAGATGTTAAGAATTAAATTACATACGATAAATATATATATATATATAAATAAATATATATATATATATATCGGGGTATTCAGTTCAAGCGCACCACCTGAAGTCAGCGCTCTCATTTGACTCTTATAGTAAAACCATGTTCAGGTAGTCCAGTCGGACTGAATAACCCGTTATATTCGAGGTATAACAAGCTACACGCGACTGAATTCTCTATATAGATTATATATATATGAACTAGGTGTTACATAGGTAACGGATATATGTATATATTATACATATGTGCACAGAGTCACCACTAACGGTATGTGGTCCGCATCGTCAAGTTATCGCGAAGTCGTTGCACACGACTCGCCAGTGCGAATTTAATGGTCGCCTCAATTGACCTGAATTTACCCGAAAACGTTAACGGGTAGCAATTCTAGCGAAGTTAACGACTCATTAAGATTTTCGAATACTTAGCATTGTTTTGCGACCGTGAAAGAAGAAAAGGAAAAAAGAAACGGAACGGAAAGCATGAGAAACAAGAAAGAAAAAAAAAGAAGGAGAAAATAGTCAAGAGGAACAATCTACCACGTAATCACGGGGCGAAGAAAGCTTTTGTGCAATTTTCTTTGGCGATAATTCCAGGGGTGAAAGCTGCGTTCTTTTTCGACTATGTTTTGTTCTCAGTAGACACTGTGGTATCCCTTCACATTAATTATATGCAACTAATAACCGTGTGCTTTTGAGATAACATTCGTCCGGTATAATCTAAAAAAAATATTTTATTATTTGTTTCCTTGGTGGCCAGTGCCGATTGGAAATTAAATTAGGGCTTGATTTCTGTTTTAGTCAGAATAATATTTTATGCGAGTACTCACGGTTACATTGAGAATGTACATTATTTTATCGGCTATGGTTATATAGACGTTTGTTGTATTCGCTAGCTGCTCAGTAGATATACGAATATTGACAGACGTATTGTTATCATTAGGTTAATGATGTACGTACAATTGTTCGCAAATAAGAGAATTGTATACATGATAAATTTCAATATGTAAATAGACCATTGGATTATGGCGATTGGATAACGAGGGAGTCTCTGCTGAGTGCTGTATTGTCCAACCGAGACAATGGTAATATTCTGTTATGGGGAATGGCAATGTATCTCAATCGGAAGTAGTTGGTTGCTCTATTGAGTAGTCGAACCGGGTTGACAGTCATGCGATTTCAATTGGCCAGTAATAACAATAACTTTGATCGTCACAAGAATTATCAATACACATAATGGTAATTAACAGAAGAAATAAGAATTTTTAAAATTTTTTCTAATTTTCTAATTGTATGTTCGTAATTTCATCGGAGACAGATTCCTTTTTTATGCAATTATAATACGTAATTTATTCATGTTTTAGGGATTCATAAAGTATACGTATGCATGTCACGTGTAACACGTGAGCGACACTCATGAGGATTTTGAGAAAGATTTTTTTTTCACTCATCCACTTGGCACAATACCACTAATTATCATTCAGGGAATATTTCCCTTTAATCCCATACACAGTGAAGGGTGCAAACGAGGACAGGAAGGATATAGCAAAGTCAAATTAGGTCAGAATAATACCCTTAAAGCATATAAGCATTCAGTTTCATTAAAATATAAATCTTCTTAAAGCCTAATGGCCTTCGAGCAACCCTCATGTACGAAATATAATAATAACCCTTAACCAACTTTCGCGAAGCACTCGTGTATCACCTCCCGTCTGCAAGTCGATATAACAGATCCCGATAATGACAAGTTGAAGAGCTCATGGCGCTGCCCTCGATGAAAAGTCTTGAAATATATTTTATTACCAAAGATTGTCCAAACCCTAGTTAAATATCGACTAGCATCATCCAATCGTCGTCTTGATAAATAACTGGTCACTATTTATGACAGGATGCGTCATCGAGTCTCAGCGAATAAATCTGACCTGTCAGTTTTACGTATTTATTGAATATCTAAAACAAACGTTACAGTGTAATTTCGTTACCATCACGAAGCAGAGACAAGCAATGCATGTAGACCTACCCTGACCCAGTTGGCATTGTCAGACTGCAGAATCTCGTTACTGTCGGCGTTACCGTTAACGTTACACCCAGACGTAAACTCCTCTGCATTAAATGGAAGCAGCGTGGAATTCGCCCTGACACTAAATTCCAATGAGAATTCCATATAGATCCTAGGTGCACTCACCCGCTGGTATGAGAAGGCTTCGTTTAATAAAATATTCATACCGTCGGACACGAATAGATGCCCAGTCACTCGCCGCATATAGTATAGTATGACAAGAAGTATACAGAGTGAAGTTATTCGCCTATCGATAAAGATCGAAGTGAAGTTGGTTGCGCGTCGCTGAGTCAGTCGCTTCGTAACCTAAAAAGCGTTGACTGCCTCTGTCTTTTAATTGAACGTAAAATTATTCTGGGAAAATGAACGACTACTGTTATAACATACATTAAAACCAGAAGTGATGTTTAATAATTAGATTAAAGAAGTAAGGTTAAAAGATCAGTAATTTCTTTTCAAGGTAAAGTAAACGCGTATAACCTCACTTATTCCGATCCGTTTGACAGGTTCTTTGCGTTTATAAAAATAAGGAGAAAAATCTTGGCTATTTATTTACCAATTTATCCTTCGATTACCTTACGTTACTGTACACTGTTAAATACGATCGTACGCGACTTCAATTTCTTACACGGTAGCTCTGTGTACGAGGCTTTAAATTTTAAACACCATTTTTTTTCTCGTACGATTCTTATTCGCCGGAGAGGCTCCCCTCGATGTACCATAAAGAGCGATGGTGCCTACCACCTACACGACGGGGTAAATGGAGCGACGCGATGTTAATAGACGCCTCGACGATTAAAACGCAGCCTAGGTCATTTAACCGTATTTACGCGGCGTGTGACTTTGAACCGGGCTTTAGGGAATGTTCGAAAGAGTAAAAAGCGCCTTGACACAGTTGTGCTTGGGTGCACTCCAACACGTGTCTTACAACAAGGAGGACCCTCAACGTACGTCCGAAGGCACTGGATCGAACATACGTGAACACGCACGACATAGTATAATATTACGTTGCACCAGTGTGACACATCGGACAGTCATTTGAGCGGGAAATGTCAGGGGAATTCAAACGTTGTAAAGATAGAAAATTATTTTCAGAGACCCATAAGGACAGTCTTGATATATTTCGAGAGAGAGAGAGAGAGAGAGAGAGAGAGAGAGATATGTGGAGTTATATGGTCGCAAGGTAGATAAATAAAAATAAAATTGAATAGTAGTCTCGTTCCTTTCTTATTTTCTCGCTTCACTCGGCACTCTTTTTCATTCCCTTCTTTCCTCTGTCTTTCGTGGTATTTTTTGTTCTCTTCTGTGTCCTCTATGTATGATGTACACGTCTAGATATATATATATATATCTTTACCTCTCTCTCTCTCTTTTTTTCTCTACCCTTTCACACCATCCTGCCAACGAAAGCTTTTATCCCCACGAGAATACCATCCAGAAAATTCCTGTGAACGTAGGAAAACCGCAAAAAAAAGAAAGCACCACGACGCCATCTTTTTGTCACGTGAGCATATACAAACACAAAGGCACGTACGCGATATCCAAATACAGATTGATACATAAAAATGCGTCTTTTTATACACTAAATAAGACCACAGAACAAGAAAAGAAAATATAACGACAGAGAGCGACAAAAACGATGCGGGAAAATTGAAAAAGTATAAAATTCAATTTCACTCGTGCAGATAAACGATTAACAGTGATTTACACAAAATAGGTTAAATTTCTCAATATATATTTTTTTATTAATAATTCATATTATTAAGATTGGTGATTGTTAATGATTATCTCTCCTTTTTTTTTTAGAAAATTCAGTCAATCCTTTCCCTCCAATCAGAAACGGCTTTCTGACGTTATTAAAGCTATATATATATATACTCGGCTTCTGACCGGCCTTCGCGTGCAATCATCATCTCCTCTTGAAGAAATCAGCAGCCATTCAGAAGGCAGGTGCGCGCGATAAATTCAGGCGCCTGCAGGACGTCGGGACGCAAAATTTACTTTGCTATCAACTGCTCCACGAGCAGCAGCCGTCGGGGCGACGGTTTGCTATCGGCGATATATGAACAAGCTCCGAAAGAAAAAGGCAGTGACGTACGCTAAATAATTAAATAATCCAGGTCAAGTAAAATTCACTGTATATTTATCAGCATGCACCTTTCACATTCTGCATTCGAAGCAATGAAATCTGCATCCTTCGTTCGAACATTTAAGATATGCCCTAAATTATTAGTGACACTCGTCACACCAAAATATATTTATTCAAAATATATTTCGAATGTAATTTTTAAAAAAATGTCAAGTCTCAGAAATGCACTTCCCTCGAAAAGTCCATGACCCACCTGCAGCTGCGACCTTTATCCACGGAAGCTCGAAGCTCCGGTGCAAATGCAGCTGCAGCTGCACAAATTGAATTTGACGAGCAGGCACAGTCCAGCCAACCACATATACAGAGGAAAGACTCGGTCTGGCAGACACGTCAATGAGGCAATGCATTGTTCAAGGCTCACCCTACGTTGCCCTCGGTGAACACTATATGACACAGACAGACATATGCAAAAGGCCCATTGAATATCGCGGGGACCAGATGCGACCAAGTGTTTGGGTTTACGAGGTCACCCGGGTGACAAATAAATTATATACAGCCACCTAAGGCAAAATGGTCATGGGGTCACGAGTGTTATCCAAAGGTCAATCGAACGCACGGAAACTACTTTACAACTTGGAAACTCCCAACGGCGATACCTAACACACAATGAAATAACCATAGCGTCCAGTACGCGATAGCTTACTTATATAGCAACTCCATTCCAGCGATATGAAACACTCTGTACGTTTAGTGCATATATGTATATATATATACGCAATTCCAGCACAAGGGTAAATACATAGGTACCAGGTAAGTGGATGGTGCTTATCAGTTAATGGACTTTAACCGACCTTACTTTGATCCTCTAATGGCCATGAAATATTTCAATAATCTTACGTGACCCACGTGGGCGTTACCGTTAATTGGGAAAATCATACGGTGCAAAGAAATCACGTGACGACTACAAAATTTATCGATAAACGTTACAGAGCCAATACTTGAGAGTGTGTTCACTTTGCTTTTTGACTTTTTTTTCAAACCTAAAATAACGAAATTTCCAGGGGGTTATGTGGAAGGGGGCAGGGGGAGGCAAATACGGGAATCGGTTAAGTCGCCGGACGGGTAAGCGACGGCGTCGCGGCGCCATTTCGCCCATGAATCTTTCGAGCGTTAGCTACACGAGGGATTATACATAGTGAACTTGGATATATATATATATATACACATACACATGGTACATATTTACCCGACATAGTTATACTATCTACCATTATTGTCAGAGGGAATAGCCGGAATATCTAACGCTGAATTTCAATTCGTCCACAGCGAACATATCCGAAGCGTCTTTCCGTATCCGGTTCCGCATTAGCGGGAAATTCTCCACCCGCCACAAAAATTAAATGGCCCGTTCAAATTGAGGAATAACGAAGCAGCCTTATACGGATGACGTTGCGATTACGAGACGTGGCGAATCTTTAAGGTCGTCCTGCGACGTTGCCGATATATACGTAATACTTTTCCTTCTTTTTCTTTTTGTCAGATAATCAAGGCAGAGACGAATGATGTATGCATAGATTTCGCGTAGGTCGTCTTTGAAGCATAACGTTGAAGATACAATATTCGCCAGGTCGATAATAGTCAACGTCGGAATTAGGGAAACGTGAAAGAGAGGGGGGAGACAGGGGGGATAGGTCAATTTTGAGATATTAACAAAAGACGGGGAAAAAAGTGGTACAATGAAAAAAAAAAAGGAAGTATAAAAGAATAGGTAACAGAGGCCAGGAATATTCATTAAGAAATATCTTTTAATCGATCCGCGTCGTGGAGCCTTAATAAGTGTATAAAATCAGTAAATTCATTGATAATGCCTGTCACGACACAGTTTACCACCATTTGGCACAGATTTGCCGGACAAAAAGCTGAGAGGGAATTATTCGATATTCATTGGCCAATCTCCAGTGTGTTTTAACCGATCTTGGAAGGGTCCGCGTGCTTGCTCTTTTTAAAGATTTTCCGTGCTTCGTTTCATCCACCGTAAATGCGAGAGAGAGGTACCTATGCGCGTTTACGTAAGTAAGAGAAAGATAGACATAACGATCGTCCAGAATTTCGTCCATGGGTGATCATACGTCTTTCTCGAATTTAATATTTACCTATTTAAAGTTTCATTCGCCATGATATATATTGAACCGTTTCTAATATGAAAGTGAGTTAGCGCGGATTAATGATATTGAAAATTTTAAGAGGAATTACAAATTTTTTTCATAACCTTGTCCGCTCGGAAAATGCTCCGTCGTTGCGTTCGTCTTTCTCGAACTTGTGCGAGTGCCCGTAACAGCCTCTCTTTCGCACTCATGGCTGTTATAGGAAAACTCAAAGAATCTCAAACACAGACCTTGGCTACCCCGACAATACGATACTATTCACGATACGATATTAAGCTACGGTTATGTGAAGGTGTCCGAATAAATTGCTAAAAAAATTTTGACCACGTTTACGAGAAAGTATAGCAATTGGAATTATCTTATAAATTAGAGGTCTTGTGAAACTTATCGGATACTTTAATTATTTCATACTTTGTGGATCGTACCAGGTCGATTTATCCATTTTCGAAAATGAGGACGCGGCGGTCGTAGCTGACTCTCCGTTTCCGACAAACCGGAAATGGCTCGTATTCCCCTCCCTACCCCTCTCCTCCCACCAATGCTCCAACCCCTTAATGGATACCACCTAATCTCGACATCGGCTCAGAAATCCAAGCACCTGTGTGCTCATTATCTTACGTGTATATATATATCCACGTTTTCACGAGGCCAAGGGATGCTTACTCAAAGACGGTGGTTGGAGTGGCCAGAAGTGATACTTCCGATCGAAGGAGTTGCTGTAGTTGCTCTGAGCTACGTGGGCAAAGATCTTCTCGAGGGGTTGAAATTTTCAGTAGCCGTTTCGAGTTACCGCCATTTTATTAAGACAATAAGACAAAGAGAGGGTGTGCTTACCCCAATTGGCACGGAGGATACTTGTAAAATTGGTATAAGGAAAGTCGTGTAATTAAAAAAAAAATTTAATTCCATTACGAGCGCTATTTTTTTTAGATCTGCAATTTTTGTTGAAACGGCAAAAAAAATTGTTTTCTTTTTCTCGGTAAATGAAAGATAACGATGAAAAATCATAGGGGACTCTTTTTTTTATCGGTGCAATAAGTATCCTCCATTTTGTTATTACGAATGTATTTACCTCGAAAATGTATTTTTCGATATTCCGACATAAATCGCGTGTCCCCTCCTGAGCCACTTTGGACGTCTGCGATAACTTCGTGT